CTGGCGTATGTGGACTATGAGAAAGCCTTTGATTCCGTCGAAATTTGGGCGGTGCTGCAGTCCCTTCAGCGGTGCCAAGTTGACTGTCGGTATATCGAAGTGTTGAAGTGCTTGTACAGTAGGGCTACGGTGGCTATCCGAGTACAGAACCAGAGTACGAAACCTATCCAATTGCAGAGAGGTGTAAGACAGGGTGACGTCATATCCCCGAAACTCTTCACCGCTGCATTGGAAGACGTTTTCAAGCCTCTGGACTGGAAAGGATACGGTATCAACATCAATGGCGAGTACATCACTCACCTTCGATTTGCCGACGATATAGTCCTTATGGCAGAATCACTGGAGGACCTAAGCACTATGCTCAATGACCTCAATAGTGTTTCCCAACGGATAGGTCTTAAGATGAACATGGACAAAACAAAGATCATGTTTAATGTCCATGTCACACCTATGCCGGTAGTTGTTGGGAGCACTAAGCTCGAAGTTGTTGACGAATATGTTTACCTGGGACGAATAGTCCGACTGGGTAAGTCCAACTTCGACCGAGAGGTCAATCGACGGATTTAACTCGGCTAGGCAGCGTTCGGGAAGCTGCGACACATCTTCTCGTCAGACATACCTCAAAACCTTAAAACGAAATTGTACAACCAGTGCGTGTTGCCAGTGATGACTTACGGAACTGAGACATGGTCCTTCACTGCTGGCCGTATGAGGAAGCTCAAGGTCGCTCAGCGAGCTATGGAGAGGGCTATGCTCGGAGTTTCTCTGCGTGATAAACTTAGGAATGAGGATATCTGCAGTAGAACCAGAGTGACCGACATAGCCCAACGGATTAGTAAGCTGAAGTGGCAGTGGGCCGGCCATATAGCTCGAAGAACCGACAACCGATGGGGAAGAAAGGTTCTCGAGTGGCAGCCTCGTACCGGTAGGCGAAGTGTAGGGCGTCCCCCCACGAGATGGAGTGACGACCTGGTAAGACATGCAGGAAGTCGATGGATGCAGGTGGCTCAGGACCGTGTTTTGTGGCATTCTTTGGGGGAGGCCTATGTTCAGCAGTGGACTTGTGAAGGGCTGTAATGAATGAATGAATGAATGGCGGTGAAGGAAAGCATCGTGAGGAACTTCTTAATACTTCGGCAACACATTTACTTACCCTAAAACCCTCTGATAACAAATCCAAATTATGAAAATTACGGTTGCCAACCCACTTGCCATCGTGGCAACTCTGAAACAATATTCCTATTTTGAGGCAATCTATGGGCGATACATATGTTCAGCACAGGACCTTAATAGGCTGTAATTGATGGACAAAATATGCTGGACTAAGTATTTTTTGGTCAGCGACGATTCCTTTTTAGTAGCATAAAACAATAACTCATTGTTAGAGGTAAACAGCCTGTGTAAACAACGACAGAAATTATTGTTTATTTGAGCCTCGCACAACGTTATCTGAAATTATCTTTCTATTGTATCTTATTTTTAGTCTCACCCTAAATACTCCATTACCAATATGTGATTCGTAATAAATCTACTAGTAAGTAAATACTACTAATAATCCTTGTTTACTCGCATTTTTATTATCCCATTATTATATGAATATACAGTCCTTAGAAAACTGTAGTTTTTTTTTTTCAATGGAAATACTCTTTTTCATAAATCCTTCTCTCTAAATTATTTCCCTTTGGCCTTGGTTCTTTCGTTTGTCTCAAATTTTGACATTGTGAAGTTTGAGTTTTTTTTGAATATCGTTTTGTTTTCTCCAGAAAATTTGTGAAGTATATATTTTAATTTTAATTTGCAATTCAATTTCTTCTTTAATTTTAATATTTATGACCAAAAGTTGGATGGAAAATGTAATTTCATAAGGTTTGGTAAAGAATAAAGTGGAATTCATTACATAGAGGAAAACAGGACCGACGGGGAGTAGCCATACGTAGGCGTTCAATTCTGTTAAAGAGTACGTTATTTAAAAAAATACAGTTAAATATCCTATTGTTTCTTACTGCTAAGCTATTAACTGCACAGGACATAAGTAATACAAAGAATGTTATATATATTCTGTCAAATTAAAAGGAGCATTTATAAAAACAACGAAGAACATTGGATTCATAAACATAAAAGGTTATAGTTTCATAATTATGTTTAATTATCCTATTATTTCCAAATTTTACTAACATTAGATCTAAATTAAAAAGAAATACTATGGATACTTTTTGTCCGAAATAAATAATTTATTATTATAGTACTTTAAAATTCACGTAACGAAATACAAAATCCCCTAAAATGAGTATTTATGTACATAATATATGACTCTCATTCAACGGCAAGTACACTTAGATATTGTGCTCTAATCTGTGGCGGTCAATGGCACCAAGTTCAATGAAATCAAATACATCGGTCGCGACCGCTACTTACACTTTCGACACTAAGGCCCGTATTAATAAACGTTACTCAGCTCAAGTACACGCACTTGCGTACAATCTTGAGGTTATGATCTTATTAATAAACACATCTCAAGATGCGGTTTAGGTTTTCGATATCAGCTGAATGCCACACTGATTAATAAACGAAATTCGACTCTCAAGTGTGTGTACTTGAGTGCAAGTCACAGAACAGTAGTCCTAAGTACAGCGTTTTGAGATACTATTTTTATGTGTTTATTAATTAGCAAAGATCTTGAGATGTTGATATCGTAATGAGGGCGTATCAAATGATTACGCACTTGAGTTCGTCGATGAGTAACGTTTATTAATACGGGCCTAAAAACTTGCAGTGGTCAGTAAATCAGCTTACAGTTTCGCACAAATGGTACCTAATTAAATTGTAACTCGCAAAATATCACATTCTAATCAAAATCGTTTTAATAATAGTTAAAAGCGGATCGGAATCATCTGTTGTCTCTTTTAATTAAAAACAGATTATCCCCAGAATCCAAACGCAATGAGACAACTAGGAAATGTGGATTGGTTGAAGAAAATGAAAGTAAAATAAATCCCTAATGAATCCTGCCTGTCTATATTTCGGAGAATAGGACGATAAAGTCGAGCGAAAAAGTGGAAGAAGAGTAAAAGTATTTGAAGTGAGTTGAAGATGTCTACTGCGTATGTACTCGTATATCTTGGACCGCTGTGTATTTTTTTTTATAGGATAAGGGTGACAAACGAGCACACAGTCCACTTGATGGTAAGTGGTTGCTGCGGCTCATAGACATCTACATCTATCCTCCATTCAACACAAATCCACAAATCCACAAATCAAAATGCAGATGCGTTGTCACCCGTGAGGACCAAGATGGAATGCCTCATTTCCAGTAAAAAGGGCCTCCGGCCACCTGCACTCACCAAGCGAAACGCAGAGGTAAACCTCTACTTCACGCTGGTTTTCTGTGAAGTCGTGATACCACCCCGGTTCGAGCCGGCCCAACCGTGCGACTGCAAAAGCTGCCGCGTGGCTCTACCACTGTGAAAAATTAATTAGCTTGGTATCTACAATGTCTGAAAAGCTTTTGGTAGTTGGGATGTATTGTATTATAAGTTGTAACTAATATATATTATACACAATATATATATATATATATATATTGTGTTTACGTACTGTTTCTATATTGTACCACATTTTTGTGTAAAAATGTATGCGTGCACAGTAAAATCAGTTGAAATAATGCATTAGCACGCATTTTGAATTTAAAAGATAAAAGGGACAGAATTCTTGAAATTTATTTTAATTATTTTTTCTTCACTGCAATATAACCCTGTAACCAACTTGACCCGGTCTTACGTTTTATTAATAATTGCCAAACACTACAGTATAATAACTTTTTGATACGTTTCTAGCAGCCAGTGGAAATATAGCAATATTATAACAGAAAATTCTACATTGAATTTATTAACAGTTTTTTTAAAGTGTATTTTGATACGATCGCGAAATTTTAAATGTAACATAACTATCTGTAATTGCAAATTGACATTTGTCTCAAAGTAAACGTCAAACTGATTTTAAAATTCTATATATTATTATGTAGGTATTACTTTACCTTTGAAAAATCGTAAATTTTAAAAATCGTTGTTTATAATCCTTTTGTAAACATGTTATAATTTTTTTTACTATATGTACAATTTATAGATTAAGTTTCATTTAGAAATAGAAAGATTCGTTTAACGTTTAAAATATATTAAAATATCAATTTCGCTTTAATTGGAGTTAATATATGAAATAGTAATGCTAGATAGTAAACAGTAAACATATTCGTTTCTGTCACAAATCTATACTGATGTATTTGATAATGTATGTAGAGTAATAATAGAATTGTTAAACTATATATTTATTGTTTAAGTGATTGAAAAATAGTATAATAATTATTCCAAAGGACAAATAATTAACAATCTTGTAAACCTAATACATTGTTACTAATTTTTGTGATATGCACGTAAAAATAAGAAAAATATTTAGCGACAAAGAATAATAAATAATCCCTCAATTCAGGAACAATAAAACCATATGTTTCTTTTAATTACATTTATTTCACATAGTGCACAATAAATAACCTTACCACAAAAATCTTTAACCTATAATAAGTTAATGCAAATAAATTAAATTAGGTCGACGGGCTCGCGCTTTGATCTCAGAATTTAAATTACATTAATTATGGTTAATGTGAGCAGTCGCGCAATGCTTAAAATTATTTGACCTAGTTTAAGATAGCAAAATACATGAACATAATTCATTTGTAGAATATGGTCCAGTAACTTTAAGCACTGCGACTGCGTTAAAACAAAAGCTAAATGTCAGATTACCACGTCTAGTTTTTAACATAGACTGGACCAAGCTGACGTGGTAATCTGACATTTAGCCGTTTTCATACTAAAGCCACTTGGTCCAATATTTCGTCCAAAATTAAGTCCATATGTCCAATTTTGTTTATTGGTTAGTCGGCATAGCCATTGTGGGGCCGTTCATTTGAGGAATAGCGTACATGGGCATTAACTTTAATGCAGCATTGTTTAGCGGCGGGATTTCTGGTAGACCGAATAGGATTCTGAAGTAGCGCGCGAGGTTCCATAAAACATTGGACGTTGCCGGTACCCTGTGTAATACAATAAAAATTATACAACGCAAAATATTTGCATTTACACTTAAAAAATATTCCTTTACTATTTCTATGAATAGTATGTGTTATTATTGTAATTCATTGTGATAATTATCTTGTTTCATTCACTATAATAGTATACTTGTTCGATGAATTTATTAAAAAAAAATGTTCAAAATTCACTTCGAAAATGCGCCTTAATATTTGAAGTGAAACAAAACAATTATCAATTTAAAAATGTCTAAAATTCCAAACAGATACTATTTCCAAAACACATTCGTAAATAGCATTAAAAAACAAATTGCAAGTGCAATTCCAAGTTTAAAACCATCATAAATTTTCATTTTCTGATGTCTTATCTAAATGCTAGAATAAATGCAATCAATTTACGTATAAGGTGTAAAACTTAATGTATAATAGTAACCAGATATAGTTTTAAAACTAAAATTTACTAACTATTTTGATTTTGGTTTTTGTTATTTTGGATTTTGATTTTGGCTTCTTTTTTTTTGTAAAATTTACAAGATATTCTTTTTTTATTTCGTCTGTTAGATCAAACATACCAGCAATAGCCTCAAGACTAAATATAACCATTTTATGAGCTAAAGTATAATACGTAGGTGGTTTCTTCTGTTTCACTGAAACATCAAACATAGATTTCGTATATTCTTCAGCTTGTTTAAACATATAAGATACTGGATCTAAGATAAATTCCCAAAAAGACAAAAATCCTCTGCTAGTATGTTCTGGTTTCAGTATAAGTGATTGACTGTGTAAAAGGTTACTTTTTGAAATCTTCACGGTTGAACTTCTTTTAGTTCGTAAATGTTTCCTTTTTATTTTTTTCTTATTTGCACTTCTTTCATTAATTGCTGTTTGGGATGCATTATTTAGTACTGGTGCTATAATAGGCTTCCAATCACTTGATTCTATTATGATATTATTACTTTCTCCCAATTTTGTTTCATTACTTTTTATTTTCTCTTTTTGATTATGAGACATTCGGCTTTTACTTGATTTTATGGTCAACGTATTGGGATTTATAATATACCTAATTCTGGGATAGTAAAATGTAAACGGGTAATTAAATTTATATTTTTTAGTTTTAACATAATCGTGTAAGTCTTTATTTTGTCTAAGTCTATCTAAACTGATGTTCAATTCAGTAAATTTTTTTGTTCTCGGTGCCATCCTGTAATTCATTTTTCGTTGTGCCCTATACCTTGGCTGAGGAACGAGAAATTCTTTCCTATTGTTTTCATCTGAATTCGTTTCACTGCTGCTTACTGTCGTTACATCAGAATTGAGGCCGCGGAAAGTTGCTGGCATTGTGTAGAACACATTTGCTATAGGCTCCAATACATTTCTTACTGAGCCAAAAATGGGTTCTAGAAACTTTAGGAATTTTGACTTACCATCCCATCTCTCTGAAGCGGACCTAGTTGAGTTCAGCAGCAAGGTTGGCGCTTGCTGTGACTGCTGTGCAGTGACATCATTTTGATGCAAAATTTCATGCGTGTACTGTTGCGATCCCAGACCCGTAGGGTTATACAACTCTGGGGACGCAAATTGCGTATTGGCTCCGTTAACGGAGTACGCTTGCGATGATGCGCCCGGAAAATCAATCGGATATTGCGAGTATAGATATGGGTTATTTTGTAAACCGACGCTGGAATTCAAAGAAATTTTAAAATCAATAACTCTGTAGAAATACATTCCGCTGTAATGTCTATGTCATGTCAGTTCGGTCTTGTTGAAACCACATTTTGTCATATTTATCATCATTATGTTAAGACATTCTTTAAAGGTTTGAGTCAGTTTTCTCGGTTTTCAGCCCCTTTATTTATAGACACATTTAACATTTCCTGCAGTTATAAATAAATTCTTTTTTTAAAATCACTTTATCTTAATATATTTTCATATATATGTATATCTTGTCACCATTTGAGCATTTTGATGAAAATTCTAACTGTGCCCTTTTAATTACGGAAACTAAGCAATTTGGAAAATAGAAAATGATTTAATAAGAGAAGCAACCATTCAGTAAAAAATTGTCGATAGTCAAGAAGATTCAGTCTCAGTGAGCAGTGAAATTGTTTTGTCATACGTCTAATCAAGTTTACGAGTATAACGTCAACACTGGTTAAATGTGCCGTTACAAAAATTAATTACTTAAGACACTTATTGATTTAATTTTAATAAATAACGATATTTATCTAATCTATCTGTTTTATATTTAGGCTTTGTCACTAATTAATTCTTGTAAAGGTTTGGTAGACATGAGTCTACGTACACATGATGAAAAGATCATAAAATAAGTTTTATTTGAAATTTTATTTAGAATAACATTTTATTTTGATTTACAATAATTAATTACGTCTGTTTATTCCAAGAAATATTATAAATGTTATTACTTACACTAATTGTACGCTTTTATATGTATTATACTAATTAGGAAAAACAATACATAGTAATATTATTACTACTTAAAAAAAAATAATAACAAATCTACTCACCCATTACTGTAACTTTCGTATAATTTCTTTATAGCCATGCCTACAGTTACAAGAAGCGCCAGCTTGCTTGCGAAGAATGCCTTAATAGTGATAGCTGTCACTATTGCCAGAGCAAACATAATTACGCCTGTGGACTTCATACCAAACAAAATGGGAATTACCGCCTGAAGTATCTTTTTTTTCTGTACTTTCTTCTTCTTCTCTGAAATTGCAAATGATAAAATTTAAGTTTTTTTGCAGTAAATTTATTTTAGGGTAAACGTCTAGATTAATTTCTTAATAATGTGTTTGTATATTAAAATATTATTAAGATATTATTATGTTGCGTATACTTTGTATCAGGTATAGAGCATATTACTTAATTTTTTTTATTAAGGGTGACAAACGAGCACATAGTCCACCTGATGGTAAGTGGTTGCTCTAGCCCATATACATCTACATATATCCTCGATTACGAATCAAAATGCAGATGCGTTGTCACCCGTGAGGACTAAGATAGAATGCTTCGGTCTCTGGTTCTCTAAAGTATTTTTAGTAATATAAATTTATAAGCGTATTTATAAGTACGGTATTTGTTTTTATATTTATATTCACGTATACGTATTTTCTTGTTTTATGGTTTTATGTTATATGCTTAAGTTTCTCTGCTTAGCTCGTGGTTAACTGGTAGAGAATTTCTAAAGGCATTAAGTCCACCAATTTTACACTTTATGCCTGTAAAGTGTAAAATATCGCCAAGCGTTTAACAACTATTACAAAATCCCCCCTATGAAGCAATCTATGAAAGAGGCCTTTGTTCATCAGGAAACTTTAATAGGCTGTAATGGATGGATGTATAGAAGTAAATCTACCAGGAGCACATGAGCCACTGAGAGGTGAAATTATTAAATCAACAATAAAATTACAACTATGGCAAAATCCCCCCTATGAAGCAATCTATGGGAGAGGCCTTTGTTCAGCAGGAAACTTTAATAGGCTGTAATGGATGGATGTATAGAATATAATCTACCAGGAGCACATGAGGCAATAAAGATTTTAAATAAATATATTGAGAAGCTTCAAACTGTTAGGTAGATAGATTGTCAACAAATAGATGCGTCGTTTAAATAAATACTTTAATATACCATTTTAAATAATTACTAATAATTAATATATAATATAACTTGACTGTGTTTTCGTACCTTAGAGTATGCAAAATCAAGTCTCGTTTATTTTTAACTAGCTGTTACCCGCGACTTCACCCGCGTAGAATTTATTGCGATTGGATTTCATGAGATTTCATTGCGCGAAACCGTAATTCTTTTACAAAAATAAAAGTAGCCTAAAATACTCCTTATAACATCAGCTATTTGCCAGTGAAAATCCCATCCAAATCGGTTCACAGGTTTTCACGTGATACGTATTCAAACAGACGTCGTGTTAGATTATAATATATAAGAAGACATATAAGAAAAGTTGAGTGTCAAACCTAAGTTACAGGCAAGTTTTTATTTGTAATGGCTTAAGCGGTACCCAAGAACCAAGATCACCAACATAGCCTATCATGTTTATACTAAGCTGGAGTGACACATCGGTGGCAAAAGTGACAACCATTAGAGTAGATGTATCATAGTATGAGGATACGTAATAGGTCAGGACAATAACTTATACATCAGTAAAATAATTACGGTATATGATGATAATGATCTTAACTCGTGATCTCAAATACATACAATATAGAGATAAATTTAAAATTTATAAATGAACGTTCCTTTACTTTCCAACGATTTTCTTAATATTTAACATCAAACCATTTTCTACTTGAGAACGTTTCCAAGAACATGTATGATAAACCCGATCTCGAAATAAATTGAGTTTGTAAATCCAAAACGCATCAAAGGGTCTTCTTTGGTCTATGGAACGTAAAAGTGTGTTAAAAATGAAGTGTACCGTGAAAATTAAATAATAAAATAACGTTTCAAAGAATGTGGATAAATGTAACTGACATAATAATAACAGAAAAAACAATGACAGTGTCTGCAGAGTATCAAACGTGGACCAAGGAATCAGTAAACTAAAATGCCTACAGCTATGCCATAACGACTACCGATAAATGGCCGACAACTAACAGTGAAAAAGGCTCTCTAGTGACGCCTTCGTCGCAGACCTTCTCATGCGTGTCTAGTAGGAATGAGATATGTTATTCGTGGTAGATCTACGCTGCAGCTACATTATGGTTGCAGCCAGAATAGGTCAGCTTGACCGGGGTAAATAGTAGCTTAATGCTGCTGTATTTACACGGGGATTCCATCTTAGTCTTCAGAGGTGACAACGCGTCTGCATTTTGATTCTTATTTGAGCATTAATTTAGATGTCTATGGATCAAAACATCCACGATTTTTTATAGGATAAGGGTGACAAACGAGCACACAGTCCACCTGATGGTAAGTGGTTGCTGTGGCCCATAGACATCTACATCTATCTTCGATTACGAACCAAAATGCAGATGCGTTATCACCCGTGAGGACTAAGATGGAATGCCTCGTGTCAAGTAAAAAGGGTCTCTGGTTCTTTACACTCACCATAGCAGCAGTGTTAAGCTGCTATTTTACGCTGGTATTCTGTGAGAGCGTGGTCCTTCCCCGGTCGAGCCAACCCATTCGTGCTACAACCATAATATAGCTGCAGCATGACTCTACCACGTATAAAAACGTACCATCAGGTAGACTGTGTGCTTGTTTGTCACCTTATTCTATAAAAAAAATGTTGGTTGCTCACCTGAGGCCTGTATTCACCAATGACTTGTAATGCGCTGTTATAACGATGATGATGTAAATCTTAATATATAAAAATCTCACGTCACGACATTCGTTCACGCTAATCTCCGAAACCGTTCAACCATTTTAGTGAAATTTTGTAAATATGTATTGCTCGTTTATTGCAAAATACTTGAGAGATTGCATAGTTTTTATCCTGGTAAGTGACCCTCAATGTTTTATATTGCGAATTTAAGTATTTTTATAGCACAAATGCTCATTGGAAAGAGTAGATCAACGTCTGCCTGGCTAACTAGTAAGAATGTAAATATATAACGGTCTAAAATAGTCATTTGATAATCATTCATCAATAGCCTCTAGTTGTACGTAGATCTTTTAAAGTTATGAATAATTACCGTAATTAAACTTAGCAGACAGATAGGAAATTGCACTAAGTTTCTTATGTTTGAATATGCTCCTAAAATAATTTCATTCGAATGCTGGCCGAAGTTTGCAACTGTGTTTTTAAGGTAAGTTCACGTATAAAAAGATGGAGCTTCACTCGTGCGAGCGCATTGACTTTACAGTTGCCAACCTTCCATACATTGCAACCTTTGTCAATTAGTGCAAGCAATTAGGCGCATTTTCGTAAAGATCTCTATCTCCCTATGCAGATTAAAAAGGCAGCTAAAACAAATACTGTGATGTTAGCTCTAGCTAGGATTCCAATGCAGGATAGCAGATAACCACGGAGCCGACATCACAACGACTAGATAGTATAGTACGCTACTCACAAAATGTTAATTATATAATAATAATGTATTTTTAGTATTTTTATGTAATTATTTTATTTTATTGATATTTATGAATATTTATCATTTTAATTTATAATTATATTTTTATACAGCTCAAGCAGATGAGAAAACTACATAGATAACCCAATAATAATATGAACTACATTATTTTGTAAACTGTTTAAAACGTGACGAAATACTTGATTATACTCGTATAGTTTCACGATCGTAAATTATTTTATGACATTGTTACGAACAAAAACGCAAGCAGCGGTTGTTATCAAAATAACTAAACGTTCTAAATATCTAATGAAAACCTTATTCGATATTCAAATTATTTCATTGAATTTGATAATTGCATATTGCATTGCTATTGTCTTACTATTGTGTCTGAAACTCGGACAATGAACGTGTTAATGTAATGTTCTTCAATGAAATATCTATCATAAATCTTTAGCCTTACTTCTGCTTTTCTGCCAACTTCTAAAAAGGAGACGGTACTCAATTCGACTGTATGTTTTTTAATGTGTTTTTACTAGTTGAACCGATTTTGATGATTCTTTTTTTATTTGAAAGCTGGTACTTCTCGTGTGGTCCCATATGAATTTGATCAAGGTCAGGCCAAATAGTATTTGAGTTATACTTAATAACTTATATTGAAGTCGGCTGCACAAAATTTTTAATTTTAAATTATCTTAGACGCGTTATTATAATGTTAATTTCAAGTGTAGTGGTATTGGGATTAGTGGTGACGGTTAAAGTGATCGCAATTAAGAGGAGATGCTCTACAAACTTGGTAACTAGATTTTTTTTATTTTACAACGGTCTTAGCTAATTAATGTTGACATCTCTAATATATTGCTTTTGTACAAAGTAATGCTTGATTCTATTAATTATTTTAACGTTGCAAGATTGTTAGCAACGGTCGAGTTGAAATGAATGTCAAATCGAATCGCATCCGGCTAGAAGAAAGCGGTGTTCAGTTAACGTCGTCGACGTATAATCGACTTACATCTTAACAACGTTACAAACTGCAAATCTTTGTACACAACATTCAATCTAATCCCGCACGGAACAAGTATTTGTATGGCCTACAACTACAAATGATTGTTCCGGATCTGGATGTTTGTCCTTGTGAAATTTATTTATGTAAACTATACCCTACAATACAGGAGAAAATCCTAGTGTGGAGGTAACGTTTTTGTTTAAAATATTTTTTTTTATTTAAGCAATGTTTTTTTTTTGTATACTCGAATATTTACAATAAGGTTTATAAGCCAATGTCAGGCTTATACCGTATAAGTAGAAAATACATCCTGGCAAAAAATAAATAATCAAGTATTTATGAAAAAGGTCAGGCTTCCATATACAATTACTAGATAAGTGTACAAGTTTTTTGTTCCACAGTGCTTAAACTTATTCGTTCATACATTCTTATAGACAATTAAAAATTTAATTTTGAAATAATTTTATTTTTTTAATTTTAATTTTTTTACGTGGTAGATCTATGCTGTAGCTATGTTAATAGTATAGTTGTAGCACGAATGGGTCGGCTCGACCGGGGAAAGGACCACGCACTCACAGAATACTAGCGTAAAATAGCAGCTTAATGCTGCTGTGTTTCGTATATTGAGAACAGAGAAACGGAGACCCTTTTTACTGAAAACGAGGCA